TACAGCACTTGAGGAGGACCTAAAGGTCCTTCACCATGCTTAATGACTAAACTATTGTTATTTAGTCTTGTTGAACTGTTTTCCTTTGTTTCTATATTTTCTCACTTCTCTGATTAAACTTATTCTTTGGCTAAAGTTTTTCTACAAATGCAGGCAGAGATTGTGGGGTGGAAGGACATAGCACCCTGCTCAATTTCACTTCCATGACTTTTTCTTTTTTTTTTTTAACACTTAAATCTGTGATCCAGCTGGGACTTCACCTAGGGTTTAGACATCTTTTAACCTTGGCCATGAAAGAGAAGGGATTTGCATTTTATTGCCAGGAGCAGCTGACCTCATATCAGCTACCTGAACTTTGTGAATTGTTGACTTGGGCCCTTTTGCCACCTTTCTAATCAGCATTTCCTGGAGGGGAAATAGCAAAATTAAAAGCTAGCCTTTATTGAGCCCTTGCTGTGTGCTTACACCATGCTAAGGGCCTTGCATATATCTCTCTTTAAAACATCATCACAGCCCATTTTTTATTTTTTTAATTTTTATTTTCATACACTTTTAAAGATTACTTTCCATTGGCAACTGCAATATTTGCAATTGCAAAATATCTTTAAGTTTTTTTTTTTAAGATTTACTTATTTATTTGGCTATGGTTGGTCTTTGTTTCTATGCAATGGCTTTCTGTAGTTGAGGTGAGTGGGGTTACTGTATAGTTGAGATACGTAGACTCCTCAAGGCGGTGACTTCTCTTGTTCTGTAACACAGGCTTTGGGCACATGGGCCTCAGTATTTGCAGCAGTGGGCTCTGTAGTTGGGGCACACAGGCTTAGTTGCTCCTCGGCATGAGGGATCCTCCCAGACCAGGGACTGAACCGGTGTCTCTGGCATTGTAAGGCCAGTTGTTACCACTGGACCACCAGGGAAGCCCCTTAAGGCGTGTCTTCTATTTTTTAAAGATCTATTTATTTATTTTTGGCTGTGATGGGTCTTTGTTGCTGCGCGAGGGCTTTCTCGAGTTGCAGCAAGCAGGGGCTAGGCTGATCTCTAGTTGCAGCATATGAGCTTCTCATTGCAGTGGCTTCTCTTGCTGTGGAGCAAGCGCTCTAGAGCTCAAGGGCTTCAGCATTTGCGACCCTGGAGCTCTAGCGTGCAGGCTCAGTAGTCGAGGCGCGCGGGCTTAGTTGCTCTGCAGCTTGTGGCATCTTCCTGGATCAGAGATTGAACCCAAGTACCCTGCACTGACAGGCAGATTCTTTACCACTGAGCCACCAGGGAAGCCCCTATTTATTTTTCAGTAGTGGCATTTTTTTTTTAATTTTAGTTGTGCTGGGTCTTTGGTGTGGCACTTGGACTTTCTCCAGCCGTGTCACGCTGGGGACTTCTCGTTGCTGAGCTTGGGCTCCAGAGCGTGTTCAGGCTTAGTAGTGTAGTGCACCAGTTTAGTTATCCCCCAGCATGTGGCATCTTAGTTCCCTGACCAGGGATCGAATCCATGTCCCCTGCATTGGAAGGCGGATTCTTAAGCACTAGACCACCAGGGAAGTCCCTAGTTATTAAAAAATATTGTCTATATTCCCCGTGGTGTACAATACATCTCTGAGTCTATCTTACACCTGATAATTTGAACCTTCCCCTCCCCCACCCCTATATTGCCCACCCACCCACACACACTGGTAACTACTAGTCTGTTCTATCTGTGAGTCTGCTTCTTGTACCTTATCATCACTAGTTTGTCATATTTCACAGCCCATTTTGTAGATGGAAACATTGAACTTAAACTGATGAGGGCATGAGTTTCCCAAAGACTAATATGGGAAAGTCCAGAGACTGGAATCCAGGTGTGCTGAGAAACTCCAGAATCTAGGTACTTCACTGCGCTCTGTAGAAATTATTTTTGACTATGAATGGCTTTCAGCTTGATGGAGGTGGGGCAAGGACTCCAGATGGGCTGCAAAATACCATCAAAGGTCTGGAGTGGGGACCGTGACACGATGTAGATGAGAAGGTCCTAGAGATGAAGTTAGCCAGTGGTGCTAGACTTTAGAACACAGCGAGGAGGTACAGGCGAGGGACTTCCCTGGGGGTTCAGTGGTTATGACTTCATCTTCCAATGCAAAGGGTGCAGGTTGGATCCCTGGTTGGGGAGCTAAGATTCCATATGCCTCATGGCCAAAAAAACCAAACAATATCGTATCAAATTCAGTCAAGACGTTAAAAATGGTCCACATGAGGACTTCCCTGGTGGTCCAGTGGTTAAGAATCTACCTGTCAAAGCAGGGGACACAGGTTCAATCCCTGGGCCAGGAAGATTCCACATGCCCCAGAGTAACAGAGCCAGTGCACCACAACTACTGAAGCACACGCACCCTACAGTCTATGCTTGGAAACAAGAGAAGCCATGGCAATGAGAAGCCCACGCACCACAATGGGAAAGTAGCCCCACAACTAAAGAAAGCCTGTGTGTGGCAATGAAGACCCAGCACAGCCAAAAATAAATAAATAAATAAAATTATTTTTTAAAAGTTCTTTGTGGGAGCTTCCCTAGCTGCCCAGTGGTTAAGACTTCACCCTCCCAATGCAGGGGGGTCAGGTTCAATCCCTGGTCAGGGAACTAGATCCCACATGCCACACTTGCATGCCGCAGCGGTCAAATAAATAAATAAAAACTCAGCAAGGCTGGCTTTAAAAAAATAGGATTTTTTTTTAAATCTAGAAATTTTTTTCTAGAAATAAATGGTCCACATCAAAAAAAAAAAAATCTTAAAAAACAAAAGAAAAAGAACAACGCAGGGGTTTCACCTAGTATGAAAGAAGGCTGGGGACAGTTCCAAGGATCAAGCCCCCAGGCCAAGGAGAGCTTGAGGTCCCTTTGAGGGTGCTGCTGGCTGAACCCCCAAGTCTTGGAAAACCAGGGCTTTCATAAAGGAAATTCCTTTTGCAGATGGGGGTCTCAGTGAGCATAAAATCCCTGGACCCCAGGAATTCTGGACACCTTTGACTCCCTTCTTTCTTCCACTTGCACCCCCATACCAGCAAACACTGGTGGCTTCAGCTAAAATCTATTCTGTATCCACCTTCTACCCCCATTCCCCCTGTCCCTACAACCCCCATCCCCCCCGTCCCGGGCCAGGCTACTATAAGTCCTCACTCTGGGATGAAATTTTTAAGTCTCAGAGTCCACAAGCAAAGCCTCTAAGACCACAGTCACGTACCCTTAGTATGTACAGTCTGTGACAGATTTTGTACTACTAGTGGGGGTGAGTGACTTGATTCACTGATACTAACTAGTATTGACACACTCCTACAATCCTAGGTGGTCTTCCTTCATCTTGTAGCTACAAGATTGTTACTGGTTTCCTGAGGCTGCCATATCCAAGGACCAACAACCAGTGGCTTGAAACAACAGAACTGTACTTTTTCACAGTTCTGGAGGTTGGAGATCTGAAAATCAAGGCATCTGATTCTTTCAAAGGCTTTAGGGGAGAATCTTTCCTGGCCTATTCATGCCTCCTGGAGTTTGCTGGCAATCCTTGGGGTTCTTTGGTGTGTATTGCATCACTCTGATGTCTGCCTCCAACTTCCGTCTGTGTCGGTGTGTCCTCGCCTTTTCTTTACAACACATGGAATACAAGAGCCCCCTCACCCTTACCTCTGCAAAAACCCTCTTGTCAAATGAGGTCCTGTGCTGAAGTTCTGGGTGGACATATTCAAGCCACGACAGTCATCAAGAACAGATGCCCTCTGGGGCTCCCCTGATGGTCCAGTGGTTAAGAATCTGCCTTGCACTGCAGAGAACAGGGATTCGATCCCCAGTTCAGGAACTAAGATCCCACATGCCGCAGATCAAGTAAACCGGTGAGCCACAACTACTGAAGCCTGTGTGCCCTAGACCCTGTGCCTTGCAACAGGAGAAGCCCACACACCACAGCTAGAGAAAGCCCACGCGTAGCAACGAAGACCCAGCACAGCCAAAACAAAATTTAAAAAAGAAAGAAGAAAGAAAGAAAGCAGGTGTCCTTCAAGGCCACAGAGCAACAGAATCGAAAGGCACTGTGGCATGTTGACAAGATATGGCCCCTCCTCTGGTCTCCTCGCTTCCTATTGGGCAGGTGGCTGGTCATGTGACCTCCATTAGGGATGGTCCCACCACGGGTGCCAGAGAGGCTGGGAAGATGGAGAGGGGCACATAGATATTTGGGGACCCCTCTTGGATGGCACTAGTGATAGAGAACCTGCCTGCCAATGCAGGAGACATAGAGACTAAGCTTTGATCCCTGGGTTGGGAAGATCCTTTGGGGGAGGAAATGGCAACCCACTCCAGTGTTCTTGCCTGGAGAATCCCATGGACAGAGGAGCCTGGCGGGCTACAGTCCACGGGGTCCCAAAGGGTCAGACACGACTTAGCCCCTGAGCACCGTCCCCCCTGAGTGTTGTGGCTGTATCCCAGGATTCAGCAGAGTATCTTATCTGTAGTGGGTGTTCAGTGAAGGTTTGTTGAGTAAACGAATGAGTGCCAGAAAGGTGGGGAGGGTGGTGTTAGTAGCTAAGTTGTGTCCGTCTCTTTTACAACCCTGTGGACTATAGCTCCCCCAGCCTCCTCTGTCCCTGGGATTCTCCAGGCAAGAATACTGGAGTGGGTAGCCATTCCCTTACTCAGGGGATCTTCCAGACCCAGGGATGGAACTCAGATCTCCTGCATTGCAAGCAGATTCTTTACCATCTGAGCCACCACAGAAGCCTGGGGAGGGTGGGGAGTCATATAAATAAAATTGAGGAGCACCGTGGTCCACTTACTCTGCAGACTGGGGACCAGCAGCAGCTGGAGGGGACTTCCCTGCATGGTAGAACGAGCCTGGTCCCTCCCTTTGACGGATATCCCCAGGGAGGGGCACGGTTGCTCCCTGGCAGGTTCAGACAGGCAGAGAGCCCCGCGGCTGTGAGAAAGCTGAAGCTTCCTTCCCCCTTCCTGCCTGCCCTCTGCGCACCCTCCCTGCTGCCCCCAGCTGATGAAGTGCTCGTGGAGGACCGTGATGGCAGCAGAAGAGGCTTCAAGCTGCCAGGTTCCCCGCCGGCCCTGGGCATCCATCCTGAGGATGACTATCCCAGTGCTTATTAGCACAGGCACATGCTACCTCATCTGCAACCTGTGCTTCAGCCGGCAGCAGCAGCAGCTGGATTCAACCAGGGTAAGTCCAAAAGGGAGGAGAAGAGAGAGGGGGAGAGACAGGCGTATGCTACCTGGGGACCTCCGGGTGGGGACTGGACCCTGGGGTGGGGGCCGAGGGGAAGCAAGTGGGGAAAAAAAGCAAAGGGGTGTTGAGCAAGAGAACAGAGTAGCAGACTTATGGCCAAAAAACAAAAGAAAGCAAAAATCAGAATGAGACGGATATAAATCTGCCAGGGGGGCTTCCCTGGTGGTCCAGGGGTTAAGATTGCATGCTTCCAATGCCGGTTGTGTAGGTTCGACCCCTGGTTAGGGAGTTAAGGTCCCACAGGCCCCCCAGAGTGGTAGCAACAGCAAGAAAAATCCGCCAGGAAGAAAGATGTCGTAGAAAGGAACAGAGAGAGAGAGACCAGAGCAGGAGGTAAAAAGCAGGGGCAAGCCTGCCCGCCAGGGGTCTCTGGCTCAGGATAGTCAGCTCTGCCCGGGAGGTAAACCCCGGGGTGGAGATCCCAGGCTGGAGGGTACATGTGAGAAAGATACATTCCATACGGGCCTGGAAAATTACTCGTCCTTGTGGTTCCCCCAGCAGGCTGACTCAGAGGCTGCTAGGGGCTTCACGGAGTTGGGGAAGGGCAGTTCTGGGACCTCCAAGGACGGGGGGAGCCCTGGACACCCACCACAGGTGCCAACTTTGGGGGTTACATCAGGTTTTGCAGGCAAGAGAGGCAGATGTGCGAGGCGACCTGGGTTACATCCTGGAAACTAAGAAGTTCTTCTGAAGGTCTTCTCTTTGTGCTCAGGGCTAGTTCAAATCTACTTCCTCTTTATGAGCTCTTCACAAAGGCTCCAAGTCAGCCCCATGGAATGAGGGGTAGATAGAGGATGCACTGAGAAAAAAGTGCTCTTGACTCGAGGGATCACTCCAGACCCCTGACGTTTAGGTGCTTAGGTCTGTTTTCTTTTCTTCCAGTGGGACTTAGCAGAGCTTCAGCTGAATCACACAGGTAACCCGGGATGTGCATGTGTGTTGGAGGAAGAGAATAGAAGGCGGGTGGGGGAGAGAGGGAGAGAAAGAGAAAATGAGAAAGGATGAGAAAAAAAAAGAAAGACAGGGCGATGCAGCAGTCTGTTTCTGGGTGCCTGTTTCCTTTCTGGGCATTTTATTTTCTCCCATGGGAGAGTTCAAACAAACTCAACCAAGCTAATAGCCATGACTAACATGCCTTCATTCAAGTCACAAATGTTAGTTCGGCAGCTCCCACGAGGCATGCTCTGTTCTGGGCGCCCGGATTGCCAACATAACAGAAATCCCTGCCCTACTGGGGCTTCCCTGATACCAAAGGGATCAGAAAATAAGTAAATGAACAAGTAAAATATGTAGCATGCCAAGTAGAGTGAAACACGCACCTGGTACTTTTGGGGGAATATTAAGTACGGGAGGAACATCGGGCATGCCAGGGTTGGGTGTGCTCTTGAAAATGTGGTCACCAGGGAGGGTGTCCCAGCGAAGAGGGCTTTAGAGCAAGGACATGAAGGAATGTGAGGGAGGGTGCCTTTTGGCAGTCCCCTCCCAGCCTCTCTCTAACCCTCTTCCTCTTTGGGTCTCTCCCACACTCATCCCCAGGGGTTTGGGTGTGTTCATTCCATTTTGTAACAAATGGAAACCCTATTCATCTTCCGTTTCATTTGATCATCATCAGCCCCTCTCTCTGGGGGCTTTCTGATCCGGGTGCTATGACAGAAGAACAGAAAGGCTGACATAAGGCTTCTCTCTCATGGTGTCGGGGGCTGTGAAATCCAAGGTCAAGGCACCAGCAGGTCTGGCTGTCTGGTGAATGCCCTCTTCCTGGTTTATAAACAACCAGTCATCTTTTTGCTGTATCTTCATATGACGGAAAGGGGAGGAGGGGAAAGAGAACTCTCTGGGCTCTTGCTCTCTCTCCCTATCTTTCTATTTTTTTTTTTAATTTAATTTATTTATTTATTTATTTTTTTATCACAACCATAGTGTATCTTTTTTCCCTATCTTTCTAAATTGAGACAGAGTTGACATATAACATTGTATACATTTCAGGCATACAACAGAGGTCTATATTTGTACAAACCGATCACCACAATGTCTTGTTAACACCCATCACCACACACAGTTACAATTCTTTTTTTCTTGTCATGAAACTTGTAAGATCTGTGCTCTTCAGGTCAGTTCAGTTCAGTCGCTCAGCCATGTCCGACTCTTTGCGACCCCATGAATTGCAGCACGCCAGGCCTCCCTGTCCATCACCAACTCCCGGAGTTTACTCAAATTCATGTCCATCGAGTCGGTGATGCCATCCAACCATCTCATCCTGTCGTACCCTTCTCCTCCTGCCCCCAATCCTTCCCAGCATCAGGGTCTTTTCCAATGAGTCAACTCTTCTCATGAGGTGGCCAAAGTATTGGAGTTTCAGCCTCAGCATCAGTCCTTCCAATGAACACCCAGGACTGGTCTCCTTTAGGATAGACTGATTGGATCTCCTTGCAGTCCAAGGGACTCTCAAGAGTCTCCTCCAACACTGTAGTTCAAAAGCATCAATTCTTCGGTGCTCAGTTTTCTTCACAGTCCAACTCTCACATCCATACATGACCACTGGAAAAACCATAGCCTTGACCAGATGGACCTTTGTTGGCAAAGTAATGTCTCTGCTTTTTAATATGCTATCTAGGTTGGTCATAACCTTCCTTCCAAGGAATAAGCGTCTTTTAATTTCATGTCTGCAATCACCATCTTAGCCGCTTCCAAATATACAACATAGTATACTTAACTCCAGTTACTACACTGTACGTTACAGCGCCAGGACTTAGTTTATAACTTTTTCTAAGTTTGTGCCTCCAACCACCTTCACCTATTTCACCCACCCACCCCCCACCTCTGGCAACCACTGATCTGTTCTTTGTATCTGTAGCCATGTGTTCAGGTTTTATTTTAGATTGCACATATGAATCATACAGTATTTGTCTTTCTCTGTCTGACTTATTTCACTTTAACATAAAGTCCTCTAGGTCTATCCATGTTGTCACAAGTGGCAGGATTTCTATCTTTTTATGGCTGAATTAGATAGATAGGTGGGCTTCCCTTGTGGCTCAGCTGGTAAAGAATCCACCTGCAATGCTGGAAACCTGGGTTCGATCCCTGAGTTGGGAAGATACCCTGAGAAGGGAAAGGGTACCCACTTCAGTCCTCTGGCCTGGAGAATTCCATGGGCTGTATAGTCCATGGGGTCACAAAGAGTTGCACTAAGCAACTTTTACTTTCACTTTAGATAGATAAATAGATGTGTGTTTATAATATCACATGTATAATACATAGTAATATATATATCACATCTATATCCATTTTAGGTATATGTGTAATATAGATAAAGATATACATAAATACACACATATACATACATGCTGTGCTATGCTTAGTCGCTCAGTCATGTCTGACTCTTTGCAACCCCATGGACTGTAGCCCCCCAGTCTCCTCTGCCCATGGAATTCTCCTGGCAAGAATACTGGAGTGGGTAGCCAGTTCCTTTCTCCGGCAGGTCTTCCCAACCCAGGGATTGAACCAGGATCTCCTGCATTGCAGGTGGATTCTTTACCAGCTGAGCTACCAGAGAAGCCCCACAATACATACATATGTATATATATACACCTAGGTACGGGGCTTCCCAGTGGCTCAGGGTAAAGAACCTGCCTGCAATGCAGCAGAAGCAGAAGACTCAGGTTGGAGTCTCAATCCCTGGACTGAGAAGATCCCCTGGAAAGGGCATGGCTACCATCCCAGTGTTCTTGCCTGGAGAATCTCATGGACAGAGTCTGGTGGGCTACAGTCCATGGTTTTGCAAAGAGTCAGACATGGCTGAGCGACAGAGCAGGAGCACACATAGGTATACTGTGTATAGTGCACATGAATGTATGGATATGGGCTTCCCTGGTGCCTCAGGCAATAAGGAATCTGCCTGAAATGAAGGAAACGACCTCCTGTCAATGCTGGAGACACGGGTTCAATCCCTGGATCGGGACGATACCCTGGAGAAGGAAATGGTAACCCACTCCAGTATTCTTGCCTGGGAAATCCCATGGACAGAGGAGCCTGCCAGGCTACAGTCTGTGGGGTTGGAAAGAGTGGGACACGACTTAGCAACTAAGCCACCACCACCTTGTATAGATATATGTGTGTGTGTATACATTACATCTTCCACATCCTTTCATCCATCAGTGGATATGGGGTCTCTTTTACAAGGTCTCCACCTTCTTGCTCTAAACACTTCTGAACACTTCTAAACACTTCCAAACCCCCTTGGAGGTTAGGCTTGGACATGTGAGTTTGGGGCACTCCTTCTACAGCACTCAGTTTCCCTACATTTCCATCCCTCCCCCACAACCCTCCCAGGGTCGCGGCAGGACCCCAGGCTGCGCTGGCAGGGGAGCCCCGCCCTGGGACGCTCCTTCCTGCATGGGCCAGAGCTGGACGACAACGGGCAGCTGCGGATCCAACGTGATGGCATTTATAGGCTGCACATCCAGGTGACATTAGCCAACTGCTCCTCCTCCACGTGGACTGCCGAGCCCCAGAGAGCCACGCTGACGGTGGCCATCTGCTCCCCTGCCGCCCACAGCATCAGCCTGCTACGCCTCAGCTTCCACCGCGGAGGCTGCTGGGTCGCCTCCCAGCGCCTCACCTTCCTGGCTCGTGGGGACATTCTCTGCACCAACCTTACTCTGCCTCTGTTGCCTTCCAGAAACGCTGATGAGACTTTTTTTGGGATTCAGTGGGTGGGCCCTTGACCCTGGCACTTCCTAGCTCAGGTTGTTTAATATACTTTTTTTTACTTTCTCTTTCTTTCTTTTCTTGCTTTCTTTTTCTTTCTCTTTATCTTTCCTTTTCTTTCTTTTTCTTTGTTTCTTCTTAACTTTCTTTTTCTTTCTTTTTTCTTTTGCTTTGTTTCTTTCTTGTTCTCTTTTTTTTTCTTTCTTGTTTTCTTTTTCTTTCTCTTTTTTTCCTTCTCTTTCTTTTTTTTTTTCAGCCCCCACTTTCTAGCATGTGAGATCTTAGTTCCCCAGCCAAATGTGGAATTCACACTCCTTGCAATTGAAGGGCACTCTCAAGTGCATTGTCAAGGCATAGGAATATAATTGATATTCCTACATTGATTTGGGGGTTTGGGGGCTGTTTTTTTATTTTAATTAATATTAAAATATTTTTCTAAAAGGTCTTTCTTTCCAAGTATGATACTTTTTTTTTTTTTCTCATACAATATGTGGGTCACTTCACACTTGTATCTTTAGGATAAATTTCTAGAAGTGGAATGGCTGGATCCAAGAAGGTGTGTTTGTAATTTTGATATTTATTAACAAATTGGCCTCTATAGGTGTTGAATCAATTTAGATTTTTAGTCTACTGTGTGTGAGCATGGCTACTTCATAGGATATGAAAGAAAGCTTTTTTTGTCTTATTTCTAGTAAAAGGGAAGCCTGACTGCCCTCCATACTTCAGTGTCACTGAAGTCATTTATATTTTCTTTTCTGTAAAAGCATGTGTAGACACTCTTTTTTTTTAAATTGTGGTGAAATTCACATAACATAAAATTAGCCCTCTTAAAGTAGACATTCATATAACTATATTCAATATCTTGTAATAAAACAAAATGGAGAAGAATATGACTCTCCAAACACCACAAGTTGTCATTTCTCTAGCCTGTGGTGGGGACATGCGAAGAACTTAGGGAGAAGAGTTAGTGGTGACTCATAAGTTAAGAACAGAATGGAAGAGAGACTGAGAATAGAATCTCCTGATAGTGCAGAAATGAGCATACAATAGGGGATAAATACTTTCAAAAGGTATTTTTGTATATTCTCAGGTACTTTTGTGATAAAATAAGATAATAATAAGGCTAGCATTATCCTGATACCAAAGTCAAAGACACTACAGGAAAAGAAAGTTATAGACCAATATACCTGACAAGCATAGATACCAAAATCCTCAGCAAAATATTAACAAACCAAATTCAACAGTACATTTGAAGGGTCATACACATGATCCAGTGGGATTTATTCTAGGGAAGCAAGGATGGTTCAACGTGTGCAAATAATCAATGTAATCCTCCACATTAACAGAATGAAGGATAAAAACCATATCAGTAAATGCAGGAAAATCATTTCCCCAAACTCAACATTCATTCACGATAAAACACTCAACAGATTGGGTATAGAGGGAACTTACTGCTGCTGCTGCTGCTGCTGCTAAGTCACTTCAGTTGTGTCTGACTCTGTGCTATCCCATAGACTGCAGCCCACCAAGGCTCCCCCGTCCCTGGGATTCTCCAGGCAAGAACACTGGAGTGGGTTGCCATTTCCTTCTCCAATGCGTGAAAGTGAAAAGTGAAAGTGAAGTTGCTTAGTCGTGTCCAACTCTTAGCAACCCCATGGACTGCAGCCCACCAGGCTCCTCCGTCCATGGGATTTTCCAGGCAAGAGCACTGGAGTGGGGTGCCATTGCCTTCTCCATAGAGGGAACTTACCTCAAGATAATAAAGGCTGTATATGATAAGTCCACAGCTTATATCATATTCAATAGTAAAAAACTGAAAGCTTTTCCTGTAAGATCAGGAACAAGACAAGGATGCCCACATTCTCACCACTTTTATTCAACAAAGTGCTGGAGGTCCTAGCCAGAGTAATTAGGCAGAAAAAGAACTAAAAGACATCCAAATGAGGAAGGAAGAAGAAAAATTGCCTCTATTTGTAGATGATATAATTTTATATATAGAAAACCCTAAATACTCCACCAAAAAAATGTTAAAATTAGCAAACAAATTTAGTAAAGTTGCAGAATACAAAATCAATGTACAAAAATCAGTTTTGTCTCTATGCATTAACAATGAACTATCAGAAAGAGAAATTAAGGAAACAATCCCATCTATAATTGCATAGAAAATTTAATCAAGGAGATGAAAGATCAATTTACTGAAAACTATAAGACATTGATGAAATTGAAAGGACACAAATAAATGGAAAGATATTCCATGATCATGGATTGGAAGAATTAATATGAAATGTCTATATTACTCAAGCAAACTGTAGGTTCAGTGCAGCCCCTATCAAAATTTCAATGGCACTTTTCACAGAAAAAGCAGTCCTCATATTGCATGGAGCCACAAAAGACCCCAAAGAGCCAAAGCAATCTTAAGAAAGAAGAACAAAACTGCAAGCACCATAGTTCATGATTTCAAACTATATCACAAAGTTAAAGTAATCAAAACAGCATAGTATTGGCATAAAAACAGACACACAGATCAGTGGAACAGAAGAGATAGACCAGAAATAAGTATATGCATATTTGATAAATTAATTTATGAAAAATGAGCCAAGAATGGGGAAAGCCAGCCACTTCAGTAAATAGTACTGGGAAAACCAGACAACCACATGGAGAAGAATGAAACTGAATCGTTACCTTACACCATACACAAAAATAAACTCAAAAAGGGTTAAAGATCTGAACGTAGTGGTAACTTCCTTAATACTGGTCTTGGCAATGATTTTTTTGGATTTGACACCAAAAGAAAAAGCAACAAAAGCAAAAATAAATAAGTTGGACTATATCAAATTAAAATACTTCTGTACAGCAAAGGAAACCATCAACCAAAGGAAAATACAACCTAGGGAATGGGAGAAAATATTTGTAAGCCATATATCTGATAATGGATTGATACACAAAATGTATAAGGAACTCATACAACTCAATAGCCAAAAAAAAAAAAAATCCAACTTTTAAAAATGAGCAGATGGACTGAATAGAATTTTTTTTTTTTACAAAAAAAGACTCACAAATAGCCAACAAGTATATGAAAAGGTGCTCAACATCAGTAATCATCAGGAAAATGCAAATCAAAACCATGATGATCACACCCATCAGATGGCTATTATTAAAACAACAACAAATGACAAGTGTTGGCATTGAAGTAGATAAGTAGAACCCTAGTACTCTGTTGGTAGGGATGTAAACCAGTGCAATTGCTATGGAAAGCAGTATGGAGACGCCTCAAGAAGTTAAAAATAGAACTACCATATGACCCAGCAGTTCCTCTCCTGGGTATTTATCCAAAAATTTTAAAACACAAATAAGAAAAGATATATGCACCCCTCTGTTCATTGCAGCACTATTCATAATAGCCAAGATACAGAAACAACCTAAGTCCCCAACAATAGATGAATGGCTAAAGAAGTTGAGATAGATAGAAAGATGATGGAATATCGTTGTTTAGTTTAGCTAAGTCATGTATAACTTTTTTGTGTGACCCATGGACTATAGCCCTCCAGGCTCCTCTATCCATGCGATCTTCCAAGCAAGAATACCGAAGTAGGTTGCCATTTCCTTCTCCAGGGAATCTTCCTGACCCTGGGATCAAACCCACGCCTCCTGCATTGGCAGTTGTGTTCCTTACCACTGCGCCCCCAGGGAAGCCCACAATGGAACATTACTCAGCCACTAAAAAGGAATGAAATCTTACCATTTGAGATAGCTTGGATAGACCTAGAGGGTATTATGGTAAGTGAAATAAGTCAGATAGAGAAAGGCAAAAACTGTGTGATTTCACTTACATGTGGAATCTTAAAAAAAATAAATGCATAAACAGAACAGTAAGAGAGTTAGAGGTACAGAGAACAAACAAGTGGTTGCCAGAAGAGAGTGGAGTGGGAGAAGGAAAGAAATTTGATGAGAGAGATTAAGAGGTACAAACTCCCAGTTGCAAAATAAATGAGTCATGGGTATGAAATTCAATTCAAGCATATAGTCAGTAACTATGTAATACCTTTGTATAGTGACATATATAACTAGATTTATAGTGGTGATAACTTTGAAATGTATAGAAATATCAACTCACTATGTTGTGTACCAGGAACTGACATAGTGTCGCAGGTCAATTATACTTCAAAAACAAACAAACTCACAGAAAAAGAGATCAGATTTGTGACTGCCAGAGATTGGGGGTAGGAGAGAGCAAAAACTGGATGAACACAGTCAAAAGGTACAAACTTCCAGTTATGAGATAAATAAACACTAAGGATATAATAGTAGAGCATAATAAGTATAATTAACACTACTTTACATTATATATGATAGTTGTTAAGAGAATGAATACTGAGTTCTCACACCAAAGAAGATTTTTTCTATTTTTGAAAATTTGTATCTATACAAGATGATAGATGTTTTCTAGACTCAATAATCATTTCATGGTGTATGTAAGTCAAGTTATTTTACTGTGCTAAGTCACTTCAATCATCTCTGACTCTGCAACCCTCTGAACTGTATGCAACCTGCCAGGCTCCTCTGTCCATGGGATTCTCTAGGCAAGAATACTGGAGTGGGTAGCCTTTCCCTTTTCCAGGGGATCCTCCCAACCCAGGGACTGAACCCAGGTCTCCTGTGTTTCAGGCAGATTCTTTACCCGCTGAGCCACAAGGGAAGCCCAAAAAGACAAGAAATAACAATTATCAGTTATTTGATGTGGTGCAAAGGAAATCATTGTGCATCATTGGTGGAAATATGAATTGGTACAATCACTATAAAACAATATAGTTCAAAACAATTAAAAGTAGAACAGCTATCCCACTTCTAGGTACAAACCCAAACAAATTGAAAGCAGGAACTCAAAGAGATATTTTTAGAGCCATGTTCATAGCAGCACTACTTGTTCACAATAGCCAAGAGGTGGAAGCAACCAGAATGTCCATTGAGTGGTGAACAAATGAACAAAATGTGATATATACATACAATGGAATATTCT